CAAAGGGGTGAAAAAATCGCTAAAATACCTCGGGGTGGACACTCCAGTAATAACTTGACAAGTAAAATAGTTACCCATTTTCTATTTTGATTTTTTTTTTTAATTTAATTTCGGTGCCTAAAACTTACTTTTCAATTACTATGGTTAAAATGAAATGTGTGTTACCGCACTAATCAAGTATTGTGCACGCACTAATCGAGTATTGGTTATAAACAAATTTAAGCGCACTACACGAAAACGCATTAATCGAGGGATCCCTGTATATTGGATAATCTTATGCTTTGTCTTTCACCACACAGTGTAAAAAACTGACTAAAATGCTGGATGAAATCATTCATATTCTGTAAAAAATAATCAGTGGAATCATTTAATTTCTGCAAAAAATACTAGGTTGAATCATTCAATTTCTGTAAAAATACTGGGTGGAATCATTCAATTTCTGTAAAAATACTGGGTTCAATCATTCAATTTGTGTAAAACAACTGGGTGGAATTATTCAATTTCTGTAAAAATACTGGGTGGAATCATTCAATTTCTGCAAAAAATACTAGGTTGAATCATTCAATTTCTGTAAAAATACTGGGTGGAATCATTCAATTTCTTTAAAAATACTGGGTAGAATCATTCAATTTCTGTAAAAAATACTGGGTAGAATCATTCAATTTCTGTAAAACAACTGGGTGGAATTATTCCAATTTCTGTAAAAATACTGGGTTCAATCATTCAATTTCTGTAAAAAATTGGATGGAATTATCAATTTCTGTAAGAAATACTGGGTGGAATCATTTAGTTTCTGCCCAATTGAGACCTGTCAATCAAAGTGAGGCCATTATCGTACATTGACTGATAAAGGCAGTGTCTTGTATGTATTAAAACCAGGTGACCGTTGATGTTCCCTATTAATGGCCGCTAATCCTACCTGATGCTTCACACCTCATACTGCACTGATGATCACACATACACGATCAAACAAACAGTATGTTTTTTACACTCCTTTAAACTTTGTTATTTGTAACACTTCTAGTTCGGTGTCTCTTTGGTCTTCTTGTGAACAAAAGATTTGTTCAGAGGGGAAAATTCACACATTCATTTCAAGTTTTGTCACCTTTCCCTCCATTTTGCAATCAATAGAGTTCTGCTTTCTTAGCCAAATCAACTGTCTATGTTGAGGCCTCAGTCTGATCCCAAAGTTGACCCCATACAATGACACCTGGTAATACGGCCACCCAGCTATGCGGCCATCAATTGCTTTGACCCACAGCTGACCCGATAAACGGGGCTGGATTGTAAACACAAGTTTCTTATAAAACACATCTGTATAGACCTGTGTAAGCAGATTTGTATAATGCCTTCTATAAGCCACAATAATTGTACTAACAAATAATACACGTGGTATTCTCAGGGACAATTGGAAACAATGTGTAAGTACCAAGATTTTGTTTGATATATTCGTTTCAGTTAGAAACAAACACAATACTACTAACAATTAAAGAATAGCAGATGGCAAGTTTCTCTGTATGTAGCAAAGTGTCAAGGTACACTTAAGTGATCACCAAGGTAAACCTGACCACACTAAAGACAATGGTAATCTTGAAAAAACTTCACTTGGACTTCAAAGAAACCAATTCAGCACAAAAATAAAAACAGAAATCAAAGTTTACAGTGTCTACCTCTACATATGTCTAGCACTATATTTTGTGAAAAATTAAATAAATGCTTATCTAATGTCATGTACGATCCCATACAGAAACACACACACTTGCACTTCTATTGACTGTACCTGCCTAAGGGCAGAATTAAGAAAAGTTCACAGCTGGGTTGATCCTATTCACTTAGAACAGACAAATAAACAAAGGCAACCTTTACCACGTTTTAGAGAAATTACTTTCAAAGTTATAAAAGGAATACAGCCATAATACATGTACAATCATATTTAAGGTGATAAAAACATCTCATTTTACTAAATCATGAAAAGTATTCCATTTCAGACAGACTTATATTTCTTGAAGAATTAAACAAAAGTCAATGATGTTATTTTAAAATGACAAACAGTTTGTTTTTTGTTAAATTATGAACATTTGTTTTCAAAATGTTCTGAACAACTTGTTATCAAAATATTAGGAAAATTTTCAAATTCGATGACGAGGAACCCACTTTGAGACTAATAGTGCTTGGAGATGGATTTAATGGGTAATGAAGAAAAACTTTAATACAAGTTTAACATAACAGCAAATATGTTAAACTTGTATTAAAGTTTTTCTTCATTACCCATTCAAACCGTTTCCAAGCACTATAAATTAATGTATTGTAAATTATAAATGTCAGTCTCCAGAACAGGTGGAAATGATAGAAAATTAATTACGGCAACTTGAAGTTTTTTTTTTTACTTCAGAGTATTACTGCAGAGAAATCTGTCTTTTGTAACAAAAATCTGTGGTAAGTAAAAACGTAAACACTGTTTAAATCTAATAATGTGATATTAAAAACAATATAGATTATAGCCTTTCATATTAGCCATTTGTTAACACTCCTCCAAGCCACAAATATGTGGCTTAAACAAAGATGGATCCTGTATTATGCCCAGACCCACTCTGCTTAAAGCTTTGATGAACAACATCTGAAAAACGAAAATGACCATCATAAAGTACACAAAGTTATGGAGAAAATATTTCGAACTGTATGTCAAAATGCAAAATTCATTCCCATAAATAAAAGTTGTTTCAAACTATCATAAATATTCTCATTTCTACCCCTTTCGTTTCTCTATCTTTGGAATCCTGATTTAGATCAGAGGACATACTTGTAAATATCTTTAAGAATTCCACATCCAAGTTGAGTGTCAGCAAAAGGTACTGTAAATGTCAACAGTGGTTTCTAGTTCGGGACCAATGTCTAATTATGTTATAATTCCAATCCTATAGATACTGGCTAAACTAAGATTCTGATTCCGTGGGACCACTGATAAAAAATCATCAAATCAGACTCGAACCTTTAATCCCACTTCTTTCTGTCTTCCAAAAAGTGTTTAAATAAATAATGGAACTAGACAGAGATGAGCTCTTTCATCGGTCTTGATAACAAACACTTTATCTAGTCTGCGTACAAGCAATATTGGCTGCCATTATCTCAATTTCACTTAACCCTGAGTCCATCCGTTATTTTAAAACAAAATTGTCACTTCATAAAGATTTTACTAATCATTTGCAACAGTCATATTCTCAATTACACATTCAGCTGCAGAAGGAGAAGTAAAATAATCTGATGAAGCCAAAACAACTATTTGTAAGTGCAATATTTCCTTATGTAATTATTATAAACAGTGTAAAATGTGCTTGTTGTACAGTACTAACCTAACAGTTACAACTAACTTGGATTTATGTAACACAGTATGTACACGTACATTATCTTTTCTCAAAGAAAAAATCCAGACCTTTTTTAAGAATTCCATTGAAACGATTTATCACTGTGTCCCTCACTACGTATGTTTCCATAATAGGTACACAAGAGACATGTAGTTACCGCTTAATGCAAACAAATCGGAAATTCATGAACAATGTCTGAAAATGTATATTTCCTTATTAGTTTTCACAAATACAATAATTACTACTATTATTTCCTATTAAATGTCTACTTTAAACATTGTAAAAGTTGGAAATGTATTTTTTTTATTTATATCTTTACACGTCACTTCTTTGTGGCAGCAGCAGCAGCTTGGGCAGCTTTCTTGGCCTTCACCATCTCTACCAGTTCCTGCAAGCACACAGTGAGACATATCAAATGAAAAGATCCCTAAAACTAATAAATAACAAACCATATGTCTGTGAGAAATATTTTTGTGACTCGAATAAAATAAATAATAATAATTTTGATTTATTAAAAATGACGTAAAAGGGAATATTTCATGGTTCTATGAGGCAGTTTTATCAAGGTATACAATATTGTATTTTTATCATTTTACCATCAACTGGTAGTGGACAGTCACGTTAGTAAAGGTAAAAAATATAATGAGAGAAATGTACCTCTTTAACACTTTCAACACAATTGAAAAAAATTATAATATGTAGTGAAATAAAATAAGGAAACTTTATTAACTGATATAAAATAAGGTTTCAAACTTTCACTTCATAAAACACCAACAATTAACTTCATTCTCAATGTTTTAAAACACTTAATTTCCAAGTCATTAAAGTTTAAACTTTAAAAACCTACTACCCTCAACACCATAAACAAATTCCTTCCATATAAACACACACACAACGACATATAAAATCAAATAACAGTTGTGTAACGACATATAAAATCAAATAACAGTTGTTGTGTTCCCAAATCCTCCTACTTTGTTTCTCCAATAACTTAGCAACTCACATATTTCGGTATTTTATCCAATGACTTTTGAAAATTTTCCGAGTCCAGCAACTATAAATTCTAAAAATGCGACTACATATTTGTTTCGAATGGATAGTTAGACAATTTACAAAACTTATCAAGTGATGTTCCATTTAAACCAAAATATTTGAATTTGCAAAATTTAATGTTAATTTTTATCAGAAGAACATAATATTTTTCAAAGGTTTGGCAAATTAATTTCTTATCTATTTTTTTACGTCATTATATATTTGTTTGTCGGCTACTATTAGCATGCTATCACCAACGTCTGGATTATTTGACGTAGCAAGGTGTACTAACAAATCTTGCCCTTCTGTGTACTTGTAAGAAATAATCTCAATTACCACTGTATCAAATTTAGAATACAACATGGTTATAGAAAACTCCACAGATGTAAAACGTTCATATCTTTAAATGTTTCAGTTTAAAGACCTTCATCAGGCAGCTATAGCAAATAACCTGAAAGGCAAATACTGTTATGTATACAAAATAATATTGATATAAAAATATTTTACTTACTTTTAAATTACTCAATTTAAAAACAGAGATGCAGTATTTTCTTTGAATTATGAGTATGTGACTTAAACGTGTTCATAATAACTCTTATATTGCATACCTTTCCAGAATCATAAAATAATTTTACAGTCGTTAGGAAGGCTGGCATATTCTAATCGTTTCCTCAAAAGGACTGAAAATTGGGGTATTGAGGTCCAGAACAAGGGAAGGCCACAACATAAATACAGTGACATACAAACCAACACCAACAAGCTCAAAAAGGTTGAAATAAGTTCTACACAGTCTAAATACAACTTGTATACAATTAAAAAGTATCACTAGTTTTAGACTAGAGAAATGTAATATAATAAATGTTAACATAAGGTTTGGTGAACATAAACAAGTTTTTCCTTGCTATGATATTAAAAGCTGTCTGAATATCGTACTGTCGTATGAGATTGCTTCCTTTGGTATTTTTAAAAACCAGAAAAGCTTATCAGATTTACTAGTCTTCCAGTATCTTCAGACAAAAATGTAGGTTTTTAATAAAAAAAAATATTTTTATACGCCACTCATATTCCAATATATAGGTTTATAAAATTATATTTTATGTTTATGAGTAATGAACGCAGGTGAATGTTGAAACTGTAAATACCTTTTAGGGAAGACAAACATTTCTTTAATATACATAAATGGTGGGAAGAAACTGGAAGCCTTGAATCCAGCGTTAAATAGCCACAAAATCAATTTAATATACAATAAGTTAAACTTGGAAACACAAAACCTTTCTAAGGAGAGTAAGGAACCATCCTAAGGATAGTGTTTACCAATGAGAAACTCTACTGAGGATAGTGTTCACCAGTGAGAAACTCTCCTAAAGATAGTGTTCACCAGTGAGGAAAAAACCTCCTAAGGATAGTGTTCACCAGTGAGGAAAAAACCTCCTAAGGATAGTGTTCACCAGTGAGAAACTCTCCTGAGGATAGTGTTCACCAGTGAGAAAAAAAACCTCCTAAGGATAATGTTTACCAATGAGAAACTCTACTGAGGATAGTGTTCACCAGTGAGGAAAAAAAACTCTCCTGCGGATAGTATTTACCGTTGAGAAACTCTCCTAAAGATAGTATTTACCATTGAGAAACTCTCCTAAAGATAGTATTTACCATTGAGAAACTCTTCTAAAGATAGTATCTACCATTGAGAAACTCTTCTAAAGATGGTATTTACCATTGAGAAACTCTTCTAAAGATAGTATTTACCATTGAGAAACTCTCCTAAAATAGTATTTACCATTGAGAAACTCTCCTAAAGATAGTATTTACCATTGAGAAACTCTTCTAAAGATAGTATCTACCATTGAGAAACTCTTCTAAAGATAGTATCTACCATTGAGAAACTCTTCTAAAGATGGTATTTACCATTGAGAAACTCTTCTAAAGATAGTATTTACCATTGAGAAACTCTTCTAAAGATAGTATCTACCATTGAGAAACTCTTCTAAAGATAGTATCTACCATTGAGAAACTCTTCTAAAGATAGTATCTACCATT